ACAGAAAGCAATAAGCAGTCTTTACTCACATGAGCTTACCAGGTATCAACCACCTGCTACTTGGGTTCCTGGCAGGTACAGACACAAGTTTACTAGCACGTTGTTCCAGAGCGAGTCTCTGTGCCATAGCCTACATCAGATCTCAGATCTAGGGAGCCTGCCCCCTCCCCAGCCATAGGCTTGTCACGTTATACCAATCTGCTGGCCGGTGCAGACCCAGCTGGGCTCCTCCCAGCCCCAGCAGCATGTGGGAATCCAGCTTCAGCTGCATGCTGTTCCGGATGGGACAGACCTGCCTGGGTTGGCATGTTTCCCATTGCAGCACTGCGGGCCACAGAAAATGCCTTGGCGGGCCACATGGCGGCCCGCGGGGCATATGTTGGACAAGCCTGTATTAGACCAACAAGATTTTTGCAAAAAAATTCTTTAATTGCAAGCTTTCGGGCACAAACACCCTTCATCAGGCATTGGAGGAAAGATTGTAAAAGCTCTCCTGTGTAGAAATGAAAGTTTGTATTTCACAGGATTTCACAGAGGAGTCAATAGATGGAAAACTCCTCTGGGCAGTCAATTCATAGCTGGTATGAAGCCTCTACCCTCCTGTGAGGATCTGTGATGATGCAAATTACTTTGAAACAAAGGCAGGAGCAGGAGCTCAGGTTTCAGGTGGTCACAGTTGCTTCCTGCTTGGGAAAATATGAAGATTTCATTTTTTAAAATTTCATTTCTACCCAAGAGAACTTTTACAATCTTTTCTCCAGTGCCTGAGGAAGGGTGTTTGTGCCCAAAAGCTTGCAATTAAAGAATATTTTTTGCAAAAAAATGTTGGTCTTGTTGGTCTAATAAAAGATATCATCTCTGCTATGAGTCCTGATCGCCTTTTCCTCTAGACCAATATGGCTACAACATGGATACCTGACTTCATGTTGAAAATTATTTTATGCTGAGATCATATATTCACAAATTTATGCAGAACTCTACTCCAAAAAATATCCTGTTATAGTAAGAGTAATGGACAGTGGCATGGAAAGTTAGCATGTCACCCAAAATAAACTAAAAAGTGTGGCTAAGCTACCAATTATAGGAAGCCACTACGTTTCAGAGTTAAATGCTTTTTTATCATAAGCATTTCCACAATTTTGTAATATGCAGTGTAACACGCAACATTAATAAAAGTTAACATATCCAGGTTGTCAATGTTTATATTAGTTCCTGCCCAAAATAAAACATGGATAAAAAGATAGTATACCACAATACCTTTACCAGGGCATCTGAAAAACACCTTTAAAACTTTAGTAATAAAAAATTAAGTGGTAAACAAAGCTTCATCATGGATAGACTTTTGCTAATGGAACAGGCCAGATCATAGTTTATTTCAATCAATCCTCAGTTGCATCATATTGATTACATTTATATTGTTTAGTCCAAAATACTTGCCATTGGTAGAGGTGCTTCTGAAATTCTCCCGTTGCAGCATCCAGTTCACAGCCTCACTTTGGTATGGCCTCAATATGGGAATAAGTGCAGGGTGCTGTACATCCTCCCTCAACAACTGACTTTCCTGCTGATGTGTATGCCTCACAAAGTCATACAGCTCTTCAATATTCTGTCGCTCTAGTTCTCTATCAGATTCTTCCTCATCTTCCTCCAGCACATCTGCATCCACCAAGAAGCATAACAAATCACATAATCATCTTATCAACAGTGATCAACATCTCAATTAAATGGTTTAGCTTTAATGAAACATGTTTTGTTAATAAATGAAAACAATAAAGCAGAATTCCACGAAGAGCATGAGACAAATATATTCTAGGGGGTAGGAGTGGGAGGTTTATGCAAACACAGGAATTAAGGCTCCAGAATCTTAATGCTGGCAATTTTCAAGATTGCAATCCTAACACCCAGTTAGGAGCAGGACGAAAGAATATTAGCAGCAAGTAGTGGTACAGGGCCTAAATATTGCTCTTTACATTTCCACAGCGCAGGGTTCTTCTTTTTTTTTTTTAACAACAAAATAAAGCAACAGTGGGGAAAATTATGAACCATCTGTTTTCCTTTTAAGGGAGCAGGAAAATATGAAAACACATTCAAGGGAGGGATACATGAATTTGTAGCGCATTCCCACTTAAAAGCAGGCAAGTGTGCATCATGGAGATGAGAGGAAAAAAAACAGGAGTGGGATAAGAGAAGGAAACTTTTTTTCTACTGGGCCCCATGAACGGTGACCACAGTAAAATGGTGCCCCCTATTTGCCAACTTCAAAGAAAACAGGAGGTGAATTAAATTGATGTGGGAAAACTAAAATTAAAACTGCTCTCACTTGTACATTTTCCTATGCAGCCCCCCTCATAAAAGAGTTATGAGATGTACCTATAAAAACATATTCACAGGAAAAAAAAATCCATGGCAATACTGTCTCTGGCACAAAACTAAAAGCATCTCATCTAAGCAAGAATTAAAAAAATTCAGGACCAGATATTGAATTGGTGTGAATCAGCATAGCTTGATTGATTTCAACTGGTCTAGGTTGATTCACACCAACTCAAGATCTAATCCTGAGTTAATTCATACTTAGAGGGTCTCTTTTTATTATTTTTTTAATGAATATTCTTCTGGCTACTCCAGGCTGCTATTAAAATTTCAGCTTGCCTGGGGAAAAAACAGGTGGTATTGATGCAGGACAATAATTATAGAGATGTTAGTCTGATACTGGCAGAAGGCAGGACAGAGTAACATTTTAAAGTAGCACCAGTTAGGTGTAAAGGTGCCACTCTCCCCTCCCTTCTGCCTAACCGTAATAATTAGAGAGTCTTGCTTTACAATTTAGAGGCAGAACACAGAATAATAAGAAGAGCATTGTATATTAGATGCAAATTTCCAGGTAAATATTTGTTTTTCTAGATAAATAACTGCCTTAAATTGGCTTTTGCCAATTTCTAATTTTTTTTCCGTTGCTAAGCAAACTTTCAATATAGGGTTTAGTAAAATAAACCCACCACCAGTAAAGCACAAAAAGTGGATTTTATGGGAATGATTTTATCTTAAGTGCATGTGTGACAGTGAAAAAAATGAAAATTTGGAGTTGAAACCTGCATAAAATTATGAAACATGCTTCCATGACAACCTTTCAGAGTCTACTACTTTTGAATATCCCCTTACGAAATCTAAAATCTCTCTAAATGTAGAGATCACTCCAGATCAATCACCAGGACCTTAAAAAAAATCTACACAAAGTTATACATCCCTTCACTTATTTTATCATAGACCTTTAGGAAATATTCTGTGTCAGCCTAATTTAATAGTTGTGACAGATCCAGAATTATACTGAAAAACAAATGTACGAGCCTATAACGTTATTAAGATACCTGAAGGAATGCTGACCTCACAAACCTAAAGATAGACAGTTTCAGTACTTCTGCTCGTGTTCATAGTTTGGCCACATATTAGCATGGTTAAATTTTAAAAAACCTAATCATGTTTGCTGTAGCTATACAAATCCCCATGAGAACTGAAACAGGCAGATACAAGAATCACATAAATTTCACTTAATCAAAGGGCTATAGACCGAGAGGTGCCAACTCCTGCTGAGTACCTGCAACTGCCATTAAAAATCAATGGGACATAACCTGCAGGTAGAGGTGTGCCAATATCTCAGTGCCATATCAGATAGGCACCAATAAAAGGAAAATTAACATTATCAGCGATCAGCCTTTTTGGCCAGCATAGGCAATAATGTACCAATAAATATAGTGTGCCTTCGAGCCAGGGCCCCCAGATGCAGCAGCCGCACGCACGCACCAGCTAGGAACCAGGCAGCCAATGCCTGCTGGCAAATCTGTGGAGGGGAAGGAACATGGGGGAAGGAAGGGACATGGTGGGGGGCAGATCAAGGCCCCCAGGGTGAGGGAGGGAGTGGGGCAGGGGCAGGGCGGTGAATGGAACCCCAAGGGACCGGGATGGAGCCATGGGCAGCTCCTCCACGGGATCAGCATCCCCATAGCAAAGCTGTGCCTCCAGCTGCTGGACGGGCAGGGGGTATGGCATGTCCAGTGTGTGGCTCCTGGGGCAAAGGCAGCAGGGTGGAAAGCCCTGAGCCCACAGTGGGCAGCCTAATTCCGCCCTTGCTCCTGCTTTGGTTAAAAGTTTTCCCCGGACTTAAAAATGGTGGCGGCAGTGCTTGAACTAAAGCTCATTCAATGAGCTTTAGTTCAAGCGTCCCCCGTCACCATTTTTAAATACTGGGATGCTGAACCCCTGGACGAGCCACCCGCAACTCCATTCCACTCCCTGACCTCAGGTTCCCATTCACCACCCTGCCCCAGCCCCAATCCAAGCCCCAGCCCTAGCCCCTGCCACACTCCCTCCCTCACCGAGGGGGCCTCAATTTGCCCCCCATGCCCCTTCCCCATACCCCTTACCCCCCACTTACCTGCAGGGAGCTGCTACTCATGCCACCCAGCTGTGCTTCTGTAAATCACCTATCAGACTGGTATCAGCTGATGTGCTTGGAGAATAATTGGTATCGGTATCGGCCAAGAAAATCTTTATCGGTGCACCCCTACCTGTAGGTACTCACCAATTCTGGATTTGCTACTCAGAGAAAGAAAAGAAGAAATTGTGAAATGTGCTTGATATCTCAGTCAATGCTACATATCACTAGGGACCTACTGAAATTGCGATTTCATGGATTTGGCAAAATCTGGCATTGCCCATGTAAGCAGGCAATGCCGCAAAATCCACAGGAAAAAAAGGAAGAAAAGTTACTGAAAATAAAACACTGGCTCCCCCAGAGGGAGCCAGCAGTCCTCAGGGCACTGTAGCTTGGCTGCACAGCCCACGGGGAGAAGAAGGGAGCGGTCATGACAGGCAGCCCTCATAGCCAATCAGCAGTGAGGAGTGGGGATGTATGACAGGCAACCATAGCAGCCAGTCATTGGGAGAGGAAAGAACCAGACCCCCTCATTGAGCTGCAGCATCAGCGACAGGAAATTTCTGGTTTGGCACTAGTACTGCATGAAAGGACCTGAGGTTTATGAGGATCACAAACCAAATATTTAAACATGATGCTGTCCCCCAAGAAGCGCAAACACCATTCTGGGATATACCAACAAAAAGGTTGCATGCAAGATATAATTATTCTGCTGCATTCTGACAAGGTAAAGCCACAGGTAGAGTTCCACATTCAATTTTGGGCAGCACACTTGTTAAGAAAGATGTGGACAAACTGGAGCAAGTCTAGAAGAGAGAAACTAGAATAAGCAGTTTAGAAATCAAGACTAAAGAGGAAAGGTTGCAAGAACTGTGCTTCTTTAGTCTAGAAAGCAGAAGACAGAAGAGATCCTAACTGGATTCTATACATAAGCTTAAATAGGGACCTACCTAATTCATGGCAAGAAAAAGCAATTTTTGCAGCTTGGTCATGACCTGAAGAGCTGATTTCACAGTCATTTCGCAGCGGCCCCGTCCCTCAGCACTGACTGGCGAAGAGGACCCGGGGAAAGAGGGACGAGGGGATGGCCGCCATCTTGACCGTTGGCTGCACTTCATGGGTCCCCGCCCCTCGGCACTGACTGGTGGAGAAGCACGAGCGGGTAGCCACCATCTTGGCAGCTGTCCTTGTGCTGCCTCACCAGGAGGCACCTTCGCTTCCTGGGTGGGCTACAACACTGAGCTGCAGTGTTTTTTTAGGTTGATTTCCTGGGAAAATCATGGCCAATGCCATTTTTCACAAAGATCACCATTATTTGTGGTTTCCACAGAATTGTGAAACTGCAATTTAAGTAGGTCCCTAGGTATAAATGTTGCCACAAGGATAAAGATGTTCAATTATTCTCAATGTCTTCTCAAGATAAACTGAAAGAAAACTGACTTAATTTGTAGTGTGAGACGTGTTTGTGTATGCACATGGTGGGAAAGGGTGGTTAGAAATTAGATCTGATATTAAGTAAAAACTAGCCAACTATAAGAATAATTAAGTGCAATCAGGTTAGGTAAGGAGACTGTTAAATCCTAGAAGATAATGTTTTTAAAACAGGTGAGACAAATATCTGTCAAACAGACTAGGTACACTCAACCCTGCTTCAAGACAAGATGAATAACATTACCCCTTGAGATCTTTCAGTCTGATATTTCTAGGTTTCTTTTAAAAAAAGATATTCTCATCTTAAAGATAGAGGTACAGCTAGTCTATGATTTCTGCAACTGAAGCTGTTCCTGTGTTTAATGATCAAGTTACTATATTCCAAGTCTTATTTAGCTGTATTTTGTTGTTAGAGATAACATTCACAGCAAATTACTTTTCCAACTCAAAATAAATCTACCAGTAATCCTGAATATCAATTTTGGGAATAGCATTTTTCACCAAATGTAAAACCTATTTTACTTCCCTACCTGAGGAGGGAACTGTGAAGATAAAATAGTTAATTCTTGCAGAGGGTCAGATACTATAAGGAGAACCATATAATTACCTACAAAGTTAGTTCTCATGCAAGACAGGAGTATAACAGTATATTTTCCTTCAAATTTATCTTAAATTAAGTAACCTTTTAACTGTTAAAACAATTATACAGTAACAATCAATTGTACTGGAATGTTAAATTAGATTACCTGGAATTCTAAAACTGTAGAACTCTTCCATCAGTTTCTGAATCAGGTGGTTAGCTTTTTTTGGTCTTCCACCTGCATCACTGAGAAACTCTAGTTTGCTTAAACCAGTTTCCAGAAGGTAAATACCAACCTGAGAAATAATAAATTAATTTCTCACAAATACGTTTAGGATATTTTATCAGGATATTGTAAGAATAAGGTAATCTTAAAACCACCCTAACTTAAAAAAACAAAACAAAATGTGGACCAGTATTTATAAAGCAGAAAAACAATTTGGCACATTTTGGAGACCTGTACCTATGGATGTACTTAATCTCTTAAAAACACCACATAAAACTTTATTGCACCGCAGATAAGAAATCAGGTAGTGTCTAATAATTCATTAAGTCACCTTGGTGTATAATAGTTAAAAGGCAATTAGTCAACAGTGGCAGAAAATACTTATGCAAATAACTACTGAGAAGCAGTTTTTCTAACATTATGCAAATCAGTAATAGCCACTAGACTCAGAAGTGCACCTAGCTTTCTAATTTTAGAAACAAAATAAACATTTTATTTATAAAAGCCGCTTAAAATAAAAATTGTATGAGCAAATACCTTTAAAGCCTGATCCTCCTCAGGCCTTTGATAAAGTCCAATTACCCTCTTCTTTTGCAACCACCTCAAACCTTCTAATATTTCACTACTTAAAGATGATTCCACCAGAATGGCTTGTTCATAATCATTCAGGTCTTCTTTATCTTTATCACTGTCATCTTCTCCATTTTTTGCATCAACACAGATCTTCAGCTGACCACCAGAATCTGTTCTAATCAAAGAGAAACTCCTTTCATGGATCTTATCAATCAAAATGTGTTCAGGAAGCAGCTCAAGAGCAAACTCTCCAAGTAAAGCTTTCCAGGAACTGTCTGCACAATAAGGTGAGACCATAATATTGAGCTGTATGGATAAAGGGGTAAAGTTGGAGCAGAAATCTTCTCCATCTGTAATAGTCGAGAAGCTCACCAACTTTGAACCACTGTTTTCGCTGGGAGTCAGTTCTTCATCAATGCTATCATCATTTATAACAATGAAGGATGAAGAAGACGTGCTGGGAGCTGGAACAGAGTCATCTTCATTCGTGTCATCAGTCATCACCTCATTCCTTCGATCTTCATGCATATTCCAGCAGAGCTGCTTCTTTTTCTCCTCATCTACCCTGGAGGGCAGCGAACGTTTTCGTCGACTACTCATCTTGCCGTCTTTCCAACCGAGCCTTCAACCTTTTTAGGATAGATTAATATTAGTCAACAGTAAACAACACAAATCAGATAGTCAAGTGACTACTTTACTACATAATAGCTGTACTCATGACTTCTGGAAATGTTTTCAGTTATCTTCATTAAACATTATTCAGGCTGCTTGAATTACCTACTAAGTTTTATAAAAAAAATCTCCTTACCCCTGTGTCCAAGGAGGTCACATGAAAGAAAACGTCTTGTGGTACTTACCAACAGATACTGTATCTGGTTTGACAAACAGCAAGGGCACATCCAGATGAATGCACACATGTGGTTTGTGGTGCCACAGACCCATCTGCAGCACAGCAAACATCCCCACATGCAGGCATTCACCATGCTGCTAATTTGCAGCTTAGTGAGTTTTATGACACTGGAAGATCCTGATGTCAAAAAATCCCATGCCAGAAAAAAGCAGGATGGTGCACATGCCAACAGAATGTGCCGTCCAAAACTGGAGTCTGGCCAGCCAGAGCCACACGCCAGGTGCCAGCCAGGCTCCATGTACCCAGATCGCCACTGCTGCAGCCCTGGGAAGCCTCTTACAGCCCAGGGAGGTCCCCTACCCTATCTCAGGCAACTTGCTGCATGCCAGAGCATGCGTGCAGGGGTATTCCCTGGGGACAACTAGCTGCATGTATTTGTGCCACTGATAGTTGTCCCCAGGGAATGCTCACTCCCCTTCACAGGGATGGGCGCCAAGAGATTAAAATTACCAGGACTCTAGTCAGTTTCGCTGTTGTTATTCATTGCTTTAGTTCCCCCAATTAACAAGCAACTGACACATTCTGCTCCTTGAAAGACGCACTGTTTTGGAAGCAGCTTGAAGAGGAGTGCTTACTAGTTTATTCATGCAATCAGGTCCCAATCCAACAAGTTGCTTAAGCAGAAGAATACCTTTAAATATATCAAGAGTCCCACTGACTAAATCAGGTCCATATTATATACAGGCAGTACTCAATTTGTGACTTTGTTGCGATCGTCACTTAGGATATTTATAAACTGACACCCGGTTTTGACCTTCTGACCTGAGTTTCGTCTTTACAACAGATGATACAGCTGCACGTAGCTGGTAAATGGTGGAAGGGGGAGGGAGAAGGGACAGGGCGTGGTGGAGCAAACCAATGTCCCCCTCAGTGAGGGAGGGACTGGGGCAAGCACTGCCCAGCCAGGGCCAGGCAGGCGTAGGGAGGGGGAACTGGTGGCTCCCACTGCTGTGCACCGTTTGTCCAGAGGCAGCGCAGTGGCTCCGGTCCGTGCCCGTCCTGCCCCGGCTGGGCAAGCGGCGGGAAGGCATGGGGGGAGGGGGCGTGTGCCCCCAGATCTGCTCGATGTGGGCAATGGAAGGCACTGGGAGTTGGGGCTATGCCCTTCCGCCGCTCACCCAGCCGGGGTGGGGCGGAGGGGACACAAGGCAAAGCCATGACTTGTCCAGGAGGTACAGGGAGGCATGGGGTGGCTCCCGCTGCTGCGCACTTGTCCAGAGGCAGTGCAGCAGCTCCACCCCGCCCCAGCTGGATAAGCGGTGGGAGGACATAGCCCCCACTCCCAGCGCCTTCCGCCACCCGCTCTGCACAGATCTGGGAGCACACGCCCCTCCATGCCCTCCCACCACTTGCCCAGCCAGGGCAGGGTGGGTGCAAGATGGAGCTGCTACGCTGCCTCCAGACAAGCGGCACACAGCGGCGGGAGCTGCCCCCTCCCCCTCCCTGCGCCCACTTGGCCCCAGCTACGCAGTGCTTATCCCAGCCCCAGTCCCTCCCTCGCTGCGGGGACCATTGATCTGGCCGCCAACATCCCTTCCTGTCCCCCTCCCCTTTCACCACTTACCAACCGCATGCAGCTATATCGACCGTCATAAAGGAACCAATCCCCCATTTGTAACACTGTTCCTATGGGAAAATTGATTCCAACTTCTGATGTTTCGACTTAAAACATGGTTTTCAGGAACTAATTGCGTCGTAAGTCTGAGGACTGCCTGTACACATTTAAATGCTTTACTGAAAACTGTCCTCAAAGACTAGAAAAACAAAATGGATATAATTAAATACAGTACATGCAAAGATAAAGAACTTTAAAGATCAATTATCATACAAATGTAATCAGATTTAAGAAGTTAAGATCTACTGTAGTCACTAAAATACTGGATTTTCCAAAGGATAATTACCAAGGCTCGTAGGCTAGCTAAGCAAAGAAGTTCTGCTCAGCACAAGATTCAAAATAATGACCTTCATTTATTTCAGTTTCATCTGTCAGCAATGAGAAGATATTAGAAGGTACTGGTTACACAGGCTTTTGCATTAAAACTGTTCGCAAAATACAGGAAAAGAGAAGCAATTAAAAATTCATTACATAGTCATAGGTCAAAAGGTGAGAGGAGGATGGCTCTTAAGCAAGCCAGAGCATTTTCTGAAATTCCTGACAACCTTAACAGAGTGCTGAGAAAAAGGGAAATTCTCTATTTTCAACAATTTTCACACCCAAACAGTAATCAGGCTCCATAATTTAACTTTATAATACAATCAAAATGTGCACAAACTACTTTCACTTCCCAAAAGGAAACTGGTTCTAAGTATTTGGTAGATTAACTCCCTCTGTTCACATGGACCACATTTTCTATTAATTCTGCAGATAGATTCTTTATGCCAGTGGTTGACAACCTCTTAAGGCAGTGAGCTGGACAGACCCAGTTCAAGTACAAAGCAAAAGGTGGGTACTAGGACTCAGCTGTTTTCACTTTTCCCTGTGGCAGCGCAGGGAGAGTGCCCACAGCCAATGCTGTTCCCCATGGCGCATGGAAAAGCAATTGCTGCTAAAAGCCCCGTCATGAATGCTACCAGAGCCCCATGTTGGTGGGCTGGACCAAATGGCTCTATACGTTACCACCCCGATTTATACCACTCAGCATCCACAACAGCAGCACTGCAAATTTTAAATATACACTACCATCTGAAGGAACTATTTTATTAATTAATTGACACTTTAATAACTAGACTCATATATACCTAATTCAGCCTAATATACCTAATATAAAAAGGAAGTAAGTAGTCAAGTTACGATCAAGATAATGAAAGGAGGCAACTTTTTTTTTTTAAACAAAGCATCTGGTCTTCTAAAGTTTATAACCACAGGAAACTGTTCTTCAACTGGATGTCTCATAATGAAAGGAACAAAGAAGAATGTGCGCAAATAGATCTGCAAAGAAATTCACCAAGGTATTTGAAAACTGGATAAAACGCTTAAATGAAGGGCAGTATGCCTGGCTGAATGAATCCGCACCGCTCGAAAGGACAACCTGAAGACCTGAAGGCTTTCGCACACAATCTTTGGTTTTAAATTTAAAATATGTTACCAGAACCAACCTCAATTAATCTCAAAAGGAAGTCTATTAACTTCAATGTGAATTAAACTAAGGAACTGGGTATTTGAGGGTCATGCTGTCACAGAACCCCAGGGATGGTTGGAAAACGGGGATTGTGACATTTTGATATCTGTTTTTTCTTTCCTAATGTGGAACAAACTGAAACCTTTTAAAGTGTTCATAAAGGAGGGGAATAAAAAGCCTGATCAACAGTACAGCCTAACTTCAAAACACAAGATTCACAAAGAAATAACCAAAAGTCTAACAGTTAGGGAACCCTCAGAGCCCCGGTTCCCTGGGATCCAGGTTCAAATCTCTGGCCCAAATCAGATAAAGCAAGAATTAACCTGAATCTGCCCTGTCTAAGGTGCCTGTTCATTCAGCTACAGCAGTGGTTCTCAAACTATGAGGTGCGCCTCCCTGGGGAAGTGCAGCATCATGTCAAGCAAGGCGCAAGCTGTGAGTCTTGGGTTGATTTTTTTTGAGAGGGCAGTACCCTGGGCAGCAGGTTCGGAAGTGGGAGAGGTGGGGAGGAAGCTGCAGCTAGCTGGGACAGAGCATGGAACTGGGGCCAGGGGGAGTGCAGAGCTCAAAGCACGAGGCTCATGCCCAGCAGAGCGGCAGGAGTGTGGAGTCCAGACCAGTACTCCACTGGAAGTGGCAAGGAGCCCCGTATGATGGAGCCAGGCCAGCTTGACTCTGCTCCCTGCTTCCCACTGGGTCCCGGCAAATGCACATGGTGGCAGGGACCAGGCCAGGCTGCTGGCTCCATCACATGGGGCTTCTCCCCTGGTGGTGTGCGAGTCCCAAGAGCTGCACGTGAGCCACTGGGAGCCCTGTGCAATAGAACTGGGCTGGCCTGGTCCTGCTCCCTGCCACCACATGCAGCTCCCGGAACTGGCTGGAGCCACATGCTGTCAGGGGGCTCTACCTACGTGGGCCACAAGCACCCTGAGAGCCCATCCCCAGCTGCTGCCACAGCGGGAGCTGAGTCATACCACCCCCCCAATCAAACCCCACACACAATATACAAGAGTAAGATTTTATTTGCACTCGTATGCAATTGCCTTTATACATACTAGGTAAACACAAGCAAATCAGGACAAATTTTTTTTTTACATTAAATTTAAAATATTATAGCAGATATTTGATTTTTGGTATACGATTTGTTTTTTTTCCAGTTCCAAAAGGAATACTTCTGAGAGAAAGAATGGACTTCCAGTGGCAATGGTCAGCAGTTAGGGGGCAGAACTTCTGGTCCCAAGATGACATCTCACCAAAACCCATTAAGCGGCCCTCCAGCTGAAATTATTGCCCACCCCTTCGTCAGACGTACGTTGCGTCATTTTTTGTGAGTTACAAACCTCAGCAGCACTCTTAGTGAGAAACAGTTTAAACGAGAAATTGTTTTGCAACAAAGAGAGAAAAGTGTACAACCCAAGCTGACGAGAACACAGCAGTAGAAGTTCCAGCAAAATGCAAAGCTCAAAAATATGATGAAGCTATGAGGAGGCACAATCATTTTTTTCATAACTCAGCGAGGCTCACTATGACAAAGTTTGAGAACCCCTGGTCTAATACAATTTTTTCTGGTAAGGGCCGGAATGACTTAGCTCTGGAGGTGGCCGAGCATTAGGAACTGGCCACCTATAGCAGGGCACCTTTGGTGCCTGCCACTTTAAGAAGTTTGAGCAAGCTGTGGAGCAGCCTGCAGGTGTGATGTGGACTAACAAGGCGATCACATGAATGTGGGAGGGCTCCTAGATTGGAAAATAGGGCTGAACAGCCTCAGTATAAATCCAGGTGCTCAGAGATGAACTGGCGCTTGCTGCAGAGAGCCAGAGGGATAACATCGCCAGCCGGAGCTGCTGCTCTCGGAACACCTGGGGGTTCAGGGTAGGAACTATGGGGATGGAGGAGGTTCCTGGTCCTGGGGAATGACCTAAAACTACACCCTGCTGGGGCTGGATGGTGTGAAGGGGCTGCCTGTGGCAGGGTGGTCTCCAGGAAATGCCACACCAGTGCCTCCCTAGTGAAAACTGAGTATGGAGTGCCATATAGCCTTAGCCCCCAAGACCTAGTGGGTCAAGCAAGGGTCCAGTCATGTAATGAGGCCTGAGACCCAAGGGGCATAAGGCCAAGAGCCTCAGTGAGGGAGCAGAGTAGTGGGAGCAGTGAGGGAGTGTAAGAAGTGTAAGGGTCCGGATAGGTGGGCCTGAAGTACTGTGCGTAGGTCGGCCTTAGACATTGAGTGAGCTGGGTTTGGAGGGGCCCGAGAAGGCAGACCCGTACGAGAGAAAGAGGGTGAGCAGCTCAATCATCTAACCAGAGAAACCCTCGACTCGTCAATGCTGGGGCCAGAACCAGGACCAGAATGGTCAAAGGGCCAGAGTGCCCACTGTGAGGGAGGCCCAGAGCCAGGGGCCTGGGGTTCCACTAGCCTAGAGGTGAGGCCAGGGTCTGTGTGGCTAAAGATCCCAGAGGGGAACACTGTCGAGAGGGAGCTTGGGGTTTGGGGTCCAAATGCCAGTTGGGTATAGAAAGAGGTCCACTGCAGAGCCAGAGCCACATAACGATGCCATCTGCAAGGCATGGGATATGGTATAAGAGAAGTTTTGGAGCTGTGTATTATGCCCTTGGCATCAGGCAGGAAATGGGCAGCCTCCCACCTTATAAACTACTAATGATACATCAGAAGCGTGGCAGGAAAGGCAGGTAGGCAGACTGTCCTAGACTGGTGGGCAGGTGAATGATTTGACTGGCCGCAAGACGGCCCCCTGTCATATCACTATCACTGCTTCTCCCTGTCACTCAATGGTGGTGTGGCCCAGTGAAAGCCCCCTACTGGTCGAGGCCTTGCCACCTGACCATGGCATGACACAGGCAGAGATCCCCCTCTGCAAGAGCCCCAGGCAACTGATTGTGGCACAACATGGGCAGAGCTCCCCTTCTGCCACAGCCACAGGCTTCTGGGTGGTATGACACAGGAAAAGCCATCCCACTGTCAAATGCCACTCAAGCTACAGGTCCAGATCTGAATCCAAAGGCCCCATGGGGCATAGGTTGCTGACCCCAGTCTAATATATTCCTAAAACTGCACAACTCTGTCTCACAAATGCAAGGCACACTGCCCCAAAACACCAAGAACAGGTAAAGCACAGGGATAAGGGCACTTTCTATGTTCTGCTGCTTCAAGGTCATTAAAATACATACAAGAGACCCAAGGAAGAGGACCATCACCCTGATACAAAGGAAGACTGTGAAAGGGGAGGCAAAAGCCCCCCCAACATGTCCCAAAACCCCACCTGACGGGCCCCGACACTTACCGCAAGGGTCAAGATGAACAGCAGCTGGGAAGAGACGCTGACGCAGGCTCGGCAGTTCTGGAGCTTGCAGATTCACAGGCTCAGGCAGCTCCGGGGACGTGGCTCCAGAGGGGATGGTCTGCTCAAAAAGCAGCTGGAGATGCAGCTGGGGGGCCAGGCAGAGGACAGCAGAATGCTGGCTGGGAGACGCCGGCTACGGAACTGAGGAGCACCAGCCCCGAGTGCAGGGAAAAGAGGCCGAGCACTTGCTGCAGGACTGGCAGACGGAACGAGGAGCACAGGCCCCGAGAAAGGAGAAATGCCAGGGAGCTCCACCGGGAGAAAGCAGTTCCCCGGGACACCTGGGAGCAGAGCTGCAGCCACATCGGGGAGCACAGGTACTGCGGCAGGGAGTAGCAGCAAGATACTGTTGGCATTCTCGGGCAACATGGCAAGAATGGAGGTGCAGAAAGCTACAAAGCCCTGCATGGGAGTGACAAGCACCACCAACTGGTAGGACCAGAAAAAATCAGCTACAGGTCAGCTGGGCCCCAGGGAGGTCACACTGGGAAAGCTGATAGAGTCTGGGCACAGGGTGGCTGCCTGTCCCTACACCTACTAGGAAAGAAGGGACAGACGAGTTTTCCCTCTCCCCCCCACCCCCGAGTGACCAAGTGGATCTAGGGAGATGGAATCCCAGGGGGACATCAGCAGACGCCGGACACTTTCAGTTAAGTTTTCTGTAGTTACAATTAACTCCAGTTGGGGCAGGTTTAGTTGCCCGAGAGCCGGCCCAGAGACGAGGGACCGACATGGGACCGACACGGGAAAGATTGCTGGCCGGGAAGACCTGACCCATTTTGAGGTGGGCAGCATGGATGAGGCGAGATCATCCAGGGGAAGACCTGCAGTGAGTCACTAGTGTTTGCTCAGGCTGTGGACGTGGTAACGTTGGGGTAAAGGGGAGGTTGGAGCCCCACAAACAATGACCAGGGTCAAGACCCCTTTGTTTCAGGGCCACCTACAGGGAACTGCCTCCCCCAACAACAAACATCAAAGACGTCGCAGGAGAGTAGGAGCAGCATCCAAACCATCTAGGTGGCACCAAAACCCAATCTCAACCTGTCATCGCTAGGGGGCAAGGCACCAACCAAGAAGAGGCCAAAGCCCTAGAACACCTACAAGCGAAAAAGAGAAAAATCTACTACAGTCCATGTCATTGTGTAGGTAAAATTCCTTTCCACAGCCTCTGCTGCCTTTACCATCAGACATAGCTCTGGCTGTATTCACTCCTGGAGCACGAAGCACACGGAAGCACGGCCCCTCTCCAGTCACACAGCAGTGTCCCAGGGCCAGGGCTGCACTGCTTCTGATTAGCCAGGAAGAGACAAGAGTTTCCATGTGCTCTGTGCCCTGGGAATGAAGAACGCAGGAGTTGAGGAGGTATAGACCTGCCAGTAACGGAGAGAAGAGGGGAGGCAGAGACTGCAGAGTCAGGATGCGGAGAGAGAGGAGGCAGGCAGCTGCTGTAGCTCTGATTCTGGTCCTGACCTGGGCTCAGGGCAGAAGTAGAGCCATAGCAGCTGTCTTCCACCCCCACCACCTTTCACCTTGCACTCAAATTCAAGATGAGAGGCTCCCCCCTCCCATGATGAATGGAGAGAAAATACCTGGTCTTGGGTTTGAGTAAATGTGGTATATTCTACTCTTACTTATATTAAGACACTAAAGAATGTTAAAAAGTAGCTCTAATCTTGATTTTCGAGTTAGAGATATTTCAAATAAAATATTTTGAGTGGATAAAACGTATGTACCATATTTTGTATTTACATTTTTTCCATAAAAAAAAACAAACAGAGATAGGAACCAACATTCTATTTCTTCCAACTCACTCCCCATGCTGAAATATTTTTTTGGAACCTGTGACCTATAAACTTTTCTGAAAATAGAACCTGATAACAGTAATACCCTTTTAAAATTCACTGGCACCTGAACTGGACTCTCCTGTTATACACACACTGATTAAATTTTAAACAGCGTCCCAAGGATCCCTGGTCTTTTTGTTATAAGTCCCTTTTTCACACTTGCTAAAAGACACATGCCCTTGATGCATGCATCCAACTGAACAGTAGGTGAGAGAAGACTCTTCTTAGAAATACTCTGACACTCAACAAAATAATGTTAAATTATGTGATCGGAATAGAAAGAAAAAGTTTCCTCCTTCAATGCAAGTTGAAAGCAATTTAAATTCCACATGCTGAAGACAGGCTTGCTTTCTCAAGTTACACAATTACATGCATACTTCTGTATACCTACCCTAGGTATGCAAATGAACATATAAAGACAGGCAAAGTGTCCGCATGTGCACACAGTTAGCAAAACACTTAAATGGGTCATTATGCACACTATTATATGGGCAGGGATACAGAAAATCTGGCATTCCATAATCAGGATCACTTCTGAGTTTTCAGCACAGCAATCTCATTCTCAATTCAGCATTGTAATGCAGAGAATGTCTTTCAAAGGGACAATGTATATATTCACAAGGTTTTCCCATATATTCAAAGAAAGTAGGAAAGAATAATAAAACAAAAAAGAGCACTACAAACATATTTAAGATTAGTACATTTGACCTGAAGAAGAGTGTTTTCCATTCAAAAGCTTATCCGACTTTATTCCAATAATGTGGTTGATCCAACAAAAGATATCACCCAAACAAATCCCTGCCTTCCATGCCTACACATGGAATATAATGTTCTGTTTGTATAACATAAAGTCTCTCTTCAACATAAAGTTACAGTCAACTGTACAAACTGTCAACACTTCATAAAAACAAAATCCTTCTAAGAATCCACAAAAATATTTCTTCAAATTTAAGGTGATTCTTATGAATTGCTTTGAGAATCAAGAGTAGTGTTAGAGTGAAGTTGTAGCCATGACGGTGATATGAGAGAAAAGGATTCTTAAGGTGATATCTTTTGATGAGCCAACTGCACCATTGGGATAGAGTTAGATAATTATGCCTTTGAATGCAAGCATTTTCTTCTTTAGGACAAACATATTGATCTTAAAAAAAGGTGTGTCATGCTCTTAGAGGGGTTTTTTTTATTATACTTTTTTTCCCCACACACACCTGATGAAGAACAACTGCATTTGAAAGCTTATCTAACCCTATCCCAATTATACAGTTAGTCCAATAAAAGATACCACTCTGTTGCAAGACACTAAACTGTGCCTGCTCCTTTATGGGCAGAAGCAGCTAAGTAAAGGAGCCTTCCAGGCTAAGCAGCACTCCACAGCTGCAGGTTGCCTAAATAACAGGCTAATAAGGTAATTAGCTGGCACCTGCAGGTAGTCAGCTGACCAGGAGGCAGCAACCAGGGTACAAATAAGCCAGGGGTGGGCAAAATGCAGCCTGCCAAGCCATTCTACGCAGCCTATAGGACCCCTAAAAAATTTAGAAAATTAATATTAATCTACTCTGGGCAACCTGTCATGTGGCCCTCGATGGCTTGCCAAAACTCAGTAAGCGGCCCTCTGCCCAAAATAACTGCCTACCCCTGATATAAGCTCAGTGCTGGGGCTAGTAGGGTCACTTTCTCTCTAGCAACAGCAAGGGGAAGGAGCTCCTGCACATGAAAGCTACCCAAGACACTATGCTGCCTGCTTTACTACCTCCAAGTGCAGTAAGACTCTACAAGCTCACAGGGTATCCAGGCCTAGGGGGTATGCTATCCTAAAGGTATAAGTTCACCCTTTTAAAGGGGCAGAATGCTGCCTTTATGGTTGTTGTTACGTTATAGCCCAGGGGCTTATGTTTGTGTTATTGTCTGTACTGGTGGTTTGGGATGAGACTATTAGGGGAGGTGAAAACCTCATTAGTGCCCAGAGGGGCGCAGCTACAGGGCCTGGAAAGCCCAGTGCCAGAGAGGCACAGCAGATAAGGGCCAGGGGCCCAGTAACTAAAGGAGACTGATTGGAGCTAGTGCCTCAATATTGGATCTAGCACAGGGGGTCTAGATTAAAAGACCTAGCTATATGAAAGGGGTGGAGGCTGGGTAGGACAAGGCCCCAACAGAGGGTATAACATCTGTATAACACCCGTGAGGCATGGGGCATGGTAAAAGAAAGGTCTGGAGCCATGCAACTGGCCCATAAGGTCTGAGGTCCCCATTCAGCACAGTACTGAAGAGAGGCCCAGCAAAAGGGCTCAAAAACTAGTAAGCTTGAGTGAGGTTCAGCGGACTGGGACCAAGCAAGGGCCCGTGGGCAGCCTTCTCATTTATTTTACTGACAAGAGAGTGCCCTTGGGGCAGAGCCTGCAGGGTCACAGAGCTGCCAGGGGCATCCCATTCACCCCTGGGGACCCTGCTCCATGATATCCCAAGGAATCCTTGCCTTTTTTTCTTTTTTTAATACTAGTGGTTTTCAGTCTCTTCTTTTTTTTGACTGGAGGCATGCCTTGGAAAATGTCAGGTCTTAGTTTTCTCAGTTCTATTTTAGTTACAGAAAAATGGTTTATTTTTATTTTCATTTTTTTTTAAAATCACTTTTTTTTTTTTTTTTTACACTTTGGAGTTAAAAAACCCCCCAAAAACTGAGCAGTTTTTAAGAGTTTTTGCAACAGAAAAACTGTAACCATAGACTCAAAAGTGAAATCTGTGGGTTTATCTTACAAATCATGTGCGCACACCTCACAGCACTAACACTGTGGCACGAGGCAGCAGCCCAGAAAGGATTTTGAGGCACCCCAAAGTGGGCTGAGAATCACCAAGTCTGACACAGCCCTTGTAAAGTGCCAGATCCTTGTTTTCTCTCCTTTTTTTGACAAAAAAACCAAAGTGTGATTATTTTGTTTGCAAAGGACTGAGAGAGTGCAGCTGGATTCCTATTTGAGAAGTGCAGGTTTTATCATTTCAATCATCTTTGCATTACTTCACAGTGCTACCACCCTGGATAGGATCTTCTTGAGGCCCCCCAGGGTGCCTCAGTAACCCAGCTGACAATCACTGGACTGGACTGGAGGCAGCCCTTGAAAACTGCCAGCTCTTTGTTTTCATTTGGGTTTTTGACCACTGTAAAACTATAGAGATATTCTTCTGTTGGCCAAGAATTCAAGGGAGACCGCAACAATTTTTTTCACACAAGATTCCCATCTGAAATCTCTAGGTTTCTCTTATAAATCATGTTTGCATCCCTAACCATGCTAACACTTCATGACCTCCCCAGCTGAGAATCAACACAGCTCTTAGAAAATGCCAGCTGTTCCTTCTCACTTGGGTTTTCTGCCTATGGAAAAATAACAGAGCGGTTTTCCTACAGCAAAGAACTCGAAAAGATCCCAGTTGTGGATTCCTAGATCAAATCTAGAGGTTTATCTTGCAAATCACATGTGCACACCTCACAGTGCTAACACCCGGCAGCACCGTGGAAAGGATCCATCTCAGCACCCTGAAAATCACCAGACCCGAGGAATCCCTGGGAAACTGCCAGCTCTTTCTCTGCACTTGGGTTTTTGCCTATAGAAAAATGAGAGCCATTCTTCTGTTGCCCAAAAACTAAGAGACCACAATGTTTCATCGCACTGCAGATTCCTATCCAAAATCTCTGGGTTTCATTCCTGAACTGGGGTTCGCACTGCCACGGTGTGATTCTCCCAGCTGAGAATCCCCGGACCCAAGGCAACTCTTGGAAAACACCAGCTCTTCCTTCTCACTTGGGTTTTTGCCTACAGAAAAATGGCAAAGTCATTCTTCTGTCACCCAAGAACTGAGGGCGCACGCACGCACGCACAGGGAGGCTGCTCAAATGCTCTGTCATTCCAGCGTGTCAGAGCACACAATTAATTAATCAAGTCTGGTGGGGCGCAGAAGTTACCGTGCTCCAGCAGACTCCAGCGCCACGTGAATCGGTGTCCCTGGACTGAAAAATGGTGGCAGGATGCTTTAAACTAAAGTTCATTTGAGCCTTAGCTCAAAGTGCCCTGCCACTGTTTTTCAGCACACGGATACTGATACATGATGGCTACAGATGCTTTTAATTAGCATGGCTCTCAGAGCATTTTTCACACGTGTTGCAGGACACAGAGCTGGGCGCTTTAATGAGCGAGCCGTGCTAATTAAAAGCGCCTGTGTATCAGTGTTGGGTGGCACGTTTCTATCCTAAATCTCTGGGTTTCATTCCCGCATAAGGGGTTTTCACCCCTAACTGCACAATGCCCAGAAAACACCGGGTCTGCCTTTGCACTTTGGGGTTTTGCCCACAGATGAACAACCAACAGAGCAGCTCTCCTGGGGGTAGGGCTCAGGGAGACGGACCCCCACGGTAAGCCCCTGGCTCTCCCCTGGCAGTCCCCGTGCTTGCCCCTCCCGTGCTAGCGATGCCCTCTCACGCCCCCTCCCCCCGGTCACAACGGACCCTGGGGTCGCTGCCCCCCCCGTGACGCTGCCCCACCACTCGCTGCCCCGCCGCGCGAGCCCGTTACCTGGTCACGCCCCCCCCCGCGCGAGCGCCCCCGGCCGCCCGGCCACCTCAGGCCGCGGCCCTCCGAATGGGGCGCGCAGACGTCACGACGCCACGCCCCCCACCCCTGAGCAGCGGAGACAGCACTCGCGCTTGCGCAGTCGCGGGACGGACCCGGAGCCCCCTGCCAGTGGTTGGAACCGCCGGAGACCACATTCCAACTACGTCATGGGTGGGGGGAGGGGTCAGTCAGCCCCGCGGGAGGCAACTACAGCTCCCACCCCCTCCGAAGCCTCTCGGGGAGTGAGCGCGTGCACCACCAAGCTAGGAAGGCAGCGCATGCGTAGTATCGATTTGGAAGCCGAAAAGGGTGGGCGGGCAGTAGTTGGGCAGAAGAAGGAGGGGTCTGTGGGGCGCGTGCGCATAGGGAGGCGGTTGAGGGGCACGCGAACGGGGGAAGATCTGGGTTGAGACTGTTTTTAGGGCTAGACTTTCTTCCACATGAGATGGGGCGCTTTCTAGCTTTGCTTCTAAGTGCCATGAACGTTACTAAAACGAAGTTTTAACTATCCCTTAGAATAAAAGGCTGCTCCATTACAAGGCATCTGCATCACCCCTTTTATGGCTTGTTTGTACAGATGTTTATAACTCCCTTTTTTTACAGAGAGACATTGGAAAGGGAGTTTGCGGGGCTCCTCATGAAAATAGCCCGGGGCACGAGCATTTGCAGCAAGACAATCAAAACCCTCACAACCATGGTGGTTTATCTAGTCAAAAAAAAAAAAAAAGAGAAAATACCTCACCTCAGGCCACAAATAGTGACTTATTGCTAGCAAGGCTTCAAAGCAGGAGAGAGAGCAAGCATTTACAAGCAGTCCATGCACTGAAATTTGTTTGTGAGAAAAGTTGCAGCCACTGAATATGTTTTAAGTCACAAAAAGTTCCTTTAAAAAGTGTGCTTGTGAGTAACTAGCAAAGAGAGAAAGAAGGGCTGATTTAATCTAATACAATACAGTACATAGTTCACTTCAACATTTGCAAAGTTGTGGAAAAGCAAGACCCAGTCTTGCTGCAGAACCTACTGATCTCTAATCAAAGATGGAAAGAAATGAAGGAATCCATCGTCGTAGAAACTGCTTGGGTTTGATGGAGCTTCCAGTTGTGTTTGGCTTAAAGCGGGGTGCTGAACTTATCTGGCCTGTCCTGCAAACTGGACGAGCGGCATAGGACTGGTCCATGGGCCAGAAGAATGTGTCCCGTCCCCCATTGCACCTTTCTCAGCAGGCTAGATCCAGTCCCACTGTAGCCAGTGCAGGATGCATATGGCTTCCACTGTGGGACCCACACTGCATGGACTGCCCACCCCAGACAGACTGGAGCGGTTGTATCCCAGACTGACCGGAATAGGTGCTATGTGTGGCATCGTCTTGGACCAGTTGGAGCAGGTGCTACAGCTGCTGGGTTCAGCATGCAGGGGTCTCATACTGGCCCTGTGCTGGGCCAGCACCGGGAGCCAGATGATGAGGCTCCACAAGTAAGATCTGGCCTATGGACCACCTTTTTGACACCCCTAAAGGTATTACAACAACTTATTAGGTGTTAATTGTAGTGGGATTTCCACCCTCCCATACGTTTAAATGGATATGAATCAAGGATGTGTTTTGAAACAGAAGATGCCTTTTTTTCTCTCTCTTGAGCAAGTACTTTGATTTTGATACCAGATTTTGGTACTCTTTCCTCAGGTTGAATAGCACCTAATTCCAAAACAGGCTATGATCCAGCAAGGCATTTAAGCAAATGTTCATCTTTAAGTACCTGTAATCCCAATGTTGCTAGGTTTTTGGTTGTAGCCATGTTGGTCTAAGAACCTTGCCTGCCTGTAATTCCAAAGGCTTTCCTGGCACTACTAATGGAGCAAATTGATATTCAGCATAAGTACAGTTGGCAGTATGTAGCAGTGCTTTCAAAATCACAGCTACCATAATATTATCTATGTACAATGACCCTAATACAGAGGTGGGCAAAATGCAGCCCGGGGCCGGATGCGGCCTGCCAAGCCATTCTATCTGGCCTGCAGGGCCCCTAAAAAATTTAGAAAATTAATATTAATCTGCCCTGGGTTGCCTGTCATGCGGCCCTCAATGGCTTGCCGAAACTCGGTAAGCGGCCCTCTGCCCAAAATAATTGCCCGCCCCTGCCCTAATAGATCTCTATATATGCAAAATTTTGAAAGCATAGGATTGAAGAGAATATACAATATGTTGCTACTTTTTAGTGCCCTAACCACATTTCCCAAGAATAACTGAAACCATCCATGGGCATAATCCTTCACTGTTTTAGACTAATTTTCGGCAGGGAAGTACTGTTGATTTTTTCAGAGCTAAACTAAACTAAGTGCAGTTAAAACTAAACACAGTGCAGTGGAGAATCATACCCTCAGGGTTTTAGCAATTATTTTGTAATGTTTTGAGTTTCATCATAATGGCTTTAGTCTGATATCCTAACATCAGATTTTTATATCCAATCTGAAATCTGTAATTACAAAAAGGATGAGTAAAACTAAACAGATATCGAACTATATTTACTTTGAAGTGTTCTTATAATAACTAAAATCACAGCAATACAAGGACTGAAGGGAGAGTAATATATTTGTTCCCTTGAGGTATGAGGGCCAAGAGGGTCAACCTTCTGATCATCCTCCTATTAATCTACCAAATCCTGTCACAAAAGTGGTGGTAAACCAATTAATCCAGAATAATTATAAATAGTAACAAAATGGAGCACCAGGTGTCAGTCTACTTTGCTGAAAAGATCATGTACATGAGGGAAGCCTTGAATACCTTGGAACTGCTCTTTCTATACCCTTCGACCAACAACTCCATTCCCAGTTTACCATTCCCACTCAACAAGAGGTTCAGGACACCCTAAATTAAATATAGCCCAAGACTTTTCTCCCAACTCCTGATATCCATGGCTAGTGGAGAGTCATATACAAATGGTGCTATTCTGAACTGAAATGGACAATTCAGGGAGGGAATTTTCCCTTTTTCTTCAGATGTGCAGTAGCCTGACCATGGACACGTTGGTTTTAACCACCCTACCATCAAATCTCCCATTGCTAAACAAGCTCATAGAGAATATAGTCAAAGCCAACAAAAAGTTAATTTAACTGAATTTAAGAATTAAGTTCTGTATAGTTGGAGTACAGTATTTAGCAAACAAATTACAGGGCAGTCGTCTTTGTCCAAGGGAACCTACGATTGGCCAATTCAGTCTGCAGTTAGGAAGTCTGTAGTCTTGGAGTGCCTGTTGATGCCTAGTTTTCTGTTGAAAGCAGCATTTGTCTATGCTGCTACCATATCTATTTGGAAAGAACAGGGTCATCCAACTAGTAGTCTATGCCCTAAGGAGTTAACCTGCAGTCCCCATAGTTCCTAGACTGAGCACCACTCCCTCCATTGCTCTCCTGGAGTCTCTGGCTCTCCTTTCTTCCTCCACTTTCTGCTGCCTACCCCTGCCCCTAGGAGTTGTACAGTGTGGAGAAGATGGAGCCTGTGGCTGAGGGAACTCAGGCAAGGACCTTGGGACCCAGCATGGTGCCAGTGGTGGGTGCCATGGTAGGGGAGGCATGCCATTTAGGGGAGGATGCCACAGCAAGACATGGGGCAGTGGTACAGTGCAACAGGGCAGGCTCGCATGGTGCACTGTGGGTAGGGGGTATGTGGCATGGCGTGGTGCAGTGCAGGAGAGAAAGGAGATCACATGATGGGGGGAATCCCATACAGCTTACACAAGGGCATCTGTGGCCTCTCACCACACAGCAGTTGTACAGCCCTAGAAATCAAATCCCATTGTCTCCCCATTCTGGCACATTAGCAGGCCACGGTCAGTGAAAAAGGTAAAAGGAACACCCAGGGGGTAGTACCAATTGCCCACTTAATTGTAAGACACTCTTGCTCTATCACTGTACTTTTCTGTTGCCAGGGAAGGAGCTTCCTACTTAAATACAGGATTAGGTGTTCCCTGTCCTCAAACTCTTGGGAGAAAATGGCTCCCCAACCTCACTCCAAAGAATCATTCTGCAGTATGAATTATTTTATGAAGTCTGGGCCATGCAGTACTGGGGCACTGCATAGGAGCCTTTTTATAGTCCCCAATGCCTCTGCATACTCTGCAAACCATCACACCTTCTTGGGTGCCCTACCACAAAGTAGGTTTATCACTGGTACTGTGGGATAAAGCACTAACAATACCTTGCCAGCCCTAAAAACAACTTTGCTTGCTGCTTCGTTGTGGTCACTGGGGATTTTACCAGTGCTTTTACTGTACCTACCAGCAGTTTAATCCTTCTATTTCCTAGGGGTACCCCTAGTATTCCTAGGGGTACCCCTAGTACATCTGAACTGACACTCAGCTGGATTAGTTGCGAGGCCTGCCACTTGGAGTGAACAGTGAAAGAAGCACTGCCTTCACCTGCTAGATGTCCGCCTGCTAGGTGCTGGTGAATATTACCACATCATTCAGGTATGTACATGCATATGCCCAGTGTGGACAGAGTATTTTGTCTGTTAAACTCTGGAAGGTGACTTATGCCCCATAGGGCATGTCCCCACAAGCATACATGTGCATTTCCCTGGGGACAAAGAGCAGCTGCTTGTCTCCAAGGTATGCTCCTTCATGCACACTGATGGATGACAAATAGCCGCAGGTGGAGTAGGGAAGGCTGGGACCAGCACCTGGGCTGGTCCCAGCAGCCTTACCTGGGGTTCTGGGGGCCTTCTGGGGCTGCAATGGCATCGATCCAAGCGTGGAGTCTGGCCAGCAGCCAGAGCATGGCTTTGGCCAGCCAGGCTCCAGTTTTGGGTGGCACATGTTGCAGCAATATGCACTGCCCCCACTTTTCTTTGAAGCATTTTTTTAGATACCATGCTTTTCCAGAATCTAGTTTTGGCTTCACATTGGAAATATGCGGTGCAAAGAACCTTTTCACTTGCACCAAGTGCATTTTGCAGCATCTCAAGAGTCTTTGAGGTGCCGCAAAGGACATGTTCCCACTCATCTGGATGCACCCATAGACCGCTTCTCCATGAGCAGGGGCAAATGATTGCCACGGAGAAAAAAGCAGCGGCACAAATTTGTGGGGCCCCTGGCCCTCTGCTTCTCTCCAGCACTACTCTTTGGTTTCTCTC